GAAAGATTTGTGAACTTAAGCAAGAACCTTAATTACCAGCTAATTGTGATAAAACCCATCACCAATTAGAATTAAACTTAATGATTATTTAGCTTTTGTTTAGGGATTTTTCCGGTTTTTTAATGAAAACCTTTTCTAAGTCATTTGTTTCTTTCCCCTTTTTGTGTCAGTGTTTCAGAAAATAGTGAACTTGATTTCTCTGCTTCTGCTAAATCCAGTTGTGACAAAATCTAACTTGTGAGGCATGATTTAAAGGTTACAGAAATAAAACTAATGAAACCTGTTTGTGTTCATTTACTGTGACCCTCCCTACGAGCCCTGGCTTGGGCAAGGTACTTTCTCTCCTCACTCGAGTGCACAAATCAGGCCAGGAGTCTAGGTCCCCTGCAGCCTTGGGAGAAGGGATAAGATCATGATAGTAAAACTTCCATATGGCTTTAAAAACGTTAAGACCAAAAAGTCCAGGTGCATCATCTATGGCACCAAATATAGTCTGTGAACTATTCTGTTGTACTGTTTAACCTTGAGTTACATAAAACATAACTGTCCTTTACAAAGTTACCTAAAAATGTTGCTTTTGGTAATGTGAAATAACAACCCTGGGGCGAGCATTCTGCTGCAGATTAAGAGGTAGCAGCTGTGCTGAAACTTTTTAATGAGTTTAATGAAACTCATTTAATGAGTTTAATGAAAACTTTTTAATGAGTAAATTTAAATAATTTACACTAGTGAGTTTTATAAGACTTAATAACCAAATAAAAATTTCAAGTGCTGTAAGATGTTAAATAATTAAGAATTTATTACTAATAACCTGTGCATTCTCAATGAGGGCAATATCACACCCAAGGGAGTGAAAATTGGTTTTTATCTATTGTATACAAAGCACAGATATAGATACAGTACATAAACAAATATAGAGTTATATCTGTGGTGTTAAAATTACATGGAGAGAGGCAGTTAAGTTAGAAAAAATTGTGTACAAAGGCTCCTTAGAGGGTCCATGATACAATACTGGGAAAATGGAATTTAGTTCATGAAACTTGAACTGTCAGCTTTGCCCTCATAAAGCCAGTGAACAGTGAGGCTCCTGTGGTGGCTACTTACTTATACAGTGGGCCAAGCTGTGGGGCCTTGGGCAGGAGCAGCAGAATGGAAACAAGCCCAACCCAGATACTGACCCAAATTAGTTGTATTTTTGAGGCCAATCAGTGACAGGTTTTGAAGCTGCATAGAATTAATTATAGTACTCTACCTTTTTTGCATATTTTTGAAGTTTTCTGTAAACTTTTTTATGGACATTTTTTAAAAAAACCAAAATATATAGTGGTCCAAACAAAGCAAAGTAAAATATGTGGTACAAAGAAACCATATCTTACAAATATCCTGTTTATTCTGAGCATTCAGACTTAGAAAAGAACTTTGTTTCAATTTGTCTTTTTATTTCAATATGAGCTAAATTTAAGAAATTAGTCTTCTGACTTCATTTCCAAGAGTTGTTAGAAGAGCTAAATGACAATATAACTCCTTATGAAAATATATGGAAAAGTACAAGAGCTGATGTAAAAATGGTAATCAAGGTTCCAGGCATCAAGGGATCAGAGTAACTGAAGAATAAAACCAGCCAGGCTGTAGTCCGACAAAGGGTACGCTGGTTTATTAACAAGGTGCCATCTAGGAAGGCCATCAAGATGTTCACGGTGACAACTCACTGCCTGAGAAGTATTTCAATGTGGTGATTTCCTACCTTTTTTGTTTTTGTTGTAAAAGAGTTTCCTTCATTTAATAACTTAGGAGTCTCTTAAATTAACATTTCAAAATTAAAATAATTCATCAAACGGGAGTCATTTTTACAGGTAAGGTAAATTACAGGATAAGGTATTGAGTTAATTTTGTTTTTTTAAATCAAAAAGCCTTAAAATGGTCAAGAATTGATACACTGGGCATGACAAATATACATTTCAGACTTTCATCACCAATGAAAAAATAAAGCATTTTTATGGACTTAAAACTGTCATTAGTGCATTTAGATTTTGGTGAAGGAAAATTTAAAATACCTCTATAATCATACAATGTTAAAAGGAAGTGGCCATGTACTGATGAGGTCATTTTAGTGAGCTACCATCATTTAAATATAAGAAAAGTAATTTCTTGGTCCAGGTTAGTGAAACCTTAAAAAAGATTGTCTCTAGAGAACATTATTTGAGAAGAATGCTTTTTCAGACACATTCTGATACTCAAGTTCACTTTATAACAATTATAGATTAACCTTTTAATTACATCTTTCTTATTAAAAAGCTGTCAGATTTCCATTTCTTCGGGAGATATTTTCAGCAGTGTGTTGTTCAATTCCACAGGTTACGCTCTCTTCGTTATTATTAAGAACTTCATACATATTACAGAGACTGCCATTTATTACTTTTTCATCTTTCCGAAAAGACACAGGCAGACTTGCGAGACTAAAGCTGACGTCTTTAAAGGCATGCAACAAGAATATTCCTACAATGATTGTAAAGAAGCCACTCAGAGTACCAATGACATCATCAACAGGCATATCTTGCCACTCCTTAAAAAGAATAGCTGAGCAAGTTAAAACCGATGTTGTAAAGAATACGTAATATATTGGAGTCACGATGGAAGTGTTGAATATGTCCAGGGCCCTGTTCAGGTAGTTAATCTGTGTGCTCACACAGACTATAAGGCTCAGCAGCAGAATCCAGGCCAGGGGATGTCGCAGCACAGGCTTTCCAGCAAACAGCTCTTTGATAGCAATGCCCAGGCCCTTAACACAGGAGACTGAGAACGCTCCAATTACAGAGCAGATTGTGATATACACAAGAATGTTTGTCTGTCCATGGCGAGGTCCCACCACAAAGATTAATATCAAGGACACAATGACCACAAGTGTTGCAAAGACCACAAAACCTGGAGGAGGCAAAGTCAAATATTTAAGTCCTCAATAGGAAGGAGAAAGGAGTGGCCTTAACATAAAAATCAGCTTTCTTTTGCTGCCCCAGCAAAAGCACATTCATAAAAATTTAGTTAGAAGTACACACTGGAAGATTAAACTATGCTTCATATTCACAAATTATTATACATTTAACATTTTTAAAGTAGCATCTTAGGCCTCATAATTATACAGATATCCCTTGATCAACATGGGATTGAGCTGCGTGGATCCAATTATATGTGGATTTTTTTTCTAATACATACTGCAGTCCTACACAATCTGAGGGCTGAATCTGTGGCTGTGGAACCTCAGGTGTGGAGGATGGATTATAAGTGGGTTTTCTCGGGTGCTCCTAACCCTTGTGTTGTTAAAGGGTCAAACTTACAGAAAACGGCACCCAGCTGATTCACAGCTGTCTATCCTAGAATACCGTACTACTTCCCAGCCACTGGGGTGCTCTAACTCCAAAGACAGACAGACTCAGAAACTAGTGGAGAGAAATCATGAGATGACCTTGAATGCTCAACGGTTTATAGATGCTAAACAACATTTGTCTAAAATGAGTAAATTTTAAAAATATTTAGGGACAACCACTGGGGTAAAAAACAAATCAGTAAGAGAACATGAAAATAACTGTCAGGGTTCAGGTTGCATATGGAGAACTGAACCCAGCATGATAATAGTAATGATTGTGTAGCACCATGGGCCAGGCACTTGTCTCAGCAATTTGCACCGATTAACTTATTAAACTCTGACAATTACCCTGCAGTACAGACTCTGTCATCTGCATTTTATAAGATGAGGAAACAGACACAACAGTCATTTAACCTTTTTACTCCTCTAATTCTGTCTGAAAGGAAACTTCAAATTGGACAAATTACCATCCCCCCCAAATCAATAAAAACTACCATTAATTTCCTCAGACAGACAAAGATGAAATATGAGAGGAATCAAAGCAGTCAAAATCTGGAGAGAAAGTACTCTGAGGTTGCACCAACACCTCTGCTTGTTCCCTCAGGGCAAACACCAAACCTAGAGCAGGAGTGAGGACAGGCATGAAGACCAGCAGAGAGTGGTAACCTGGGGCTTATGGATGTTTCAGCAGAGGAGGTTAAAAAAAAAAAAATTGGGAATTTTGGGACACAACAGGCCAAGATTCCAGGAAGGGAACTGAAGAGGTGCACGCGAATTTTCTGTGTGGTGTCTGTGGGCACAGAGCTGTACACGCCTAGTCAGAGGGGCCAAGTGGACAGCCTGGTGAGGAGGCCAAAGGACTAAGCAGAGAGGCCCGCCTTGTCTTGGGCTGCCGAGACAAGACACTGGCATCCACAGCTCGCCAAGCTGGAGAGTCCCAGCCTATCAGCTGGGAGCCAGAAGGGCTCTGACCAAGAGTAATGGCAAAATGGAAAAAAACTAGCCCCAGCTTACAGGTTGAAGGTCATCTGCTTACTCTTATCTGTCTACCCAAAGACATTTAAATTCTCTCTGAAGGAAGAAAACATCACTTAGAGCCTTTACACTTTTTAATACACTATGGCCAGCATTCAATTGAAACTGTCCAAAGACAAAACTAAATGACTGAAAACAAAAAAAAAACAGACCATAGAAAGAGGCCCACAAATATTAAAGTTTTCAGATAAAGACTTTAAAATACCTAGGACTCTCCTGGGACCTGATGCACCACACCATGCATGTGGCTGACAATACTGTACTGTACATCTGGAAACTGGTGGGAGGGTGAATTTGTTATGTGTTTTTTGCCACCAAAAAAAAAGGAATCAGAGTACAAAGCCAAGCTCTTGGAATTAAAAATACAATAGCAGAACTAAAAACTCAAAAGAAGGGTTGGAAGACTTGAGGAAATCTCCCAAAAGACAGTAAAAAGGCAAAGTGGGGAAAAAATATGTGAGAAAATTGATGGTCTAGTTCAGGAGGTCCAATCAACAAGAAGAATAAGAAGAATTTCACAAAGAGAAGAGTATCAAAGAAGTAATTCAACTGCTTCTAGCGTGAGGCATGAATTTTTAAATTTAAAAAGATACATCAAGTACCTAACACAATGGATAAAAATTAACCCTCATCTAGGCACATTACTGGGAAATGTCAGACAATGAGGGCAAAGAGGACATCCCTACATGTTTCCAAAGATCAGTCTCATATAAAAGATAAAGAATCAGGAATTCCCAGGTGGTCCAGTGGTTAGGACTCCACGCTTTCACTGCCAAGGACCCAGGTTCAATCCCTGGTCAGGTAACCAAAAAAATCAGTTGTGTTTGATTTCTCAGCAGCAATACTGGAAGTGAGAAGATAATGAGGTGATGGTAGATTAAAGACATCTTGATATATGCAGGGTCTCAAAAAGTCTCTCTTGTGTACCTCTCTTGTCTCCTACAAGAGTGGCTCCAGCAAAATGAGGGCGCAAACCCAGGATTTGGGAGATAAGAGATCCACGAAAAAACAAAAGTGAAAGGGATCCCCCAGGATGCTGGTGAAGGAACCCAGGATGTCGACTCTGCTAGTGGCCTCAAGACATCAGTCTAAATTGAGGCCAAACAAGGCTCTTAGAGAGAGAGTTCCATAAGAGATGACACTGCAGGAACACCAAATATGTCTGAAATTACTGAGAGTAGAATTAGATCACAGGGGAAAAATTTCAGGATGGACTGATACATTTGTAGAAAACTAAGCAAATAAGATCATTATTAGTTCAGGAAAATCAGAAGTCACAAGAAAGGAAGGGAAAATTAACCACAATGTACTATATGTCCAAGCTGAGAATAAAAGTTATGTAGTGACAATAATGTAAAACAAATCATTTAAACAAACTAAATAGATACAACTGGTAATAGATATAATAATGCCTAAAGGCAAGGAAGTAGTAGCAATATAGCATGTTATTTAGAGCAGCAGCCCCCGACCCTTTTGGTACCAGGGGCTGGTTTTGTGGAAGACTGGTGGCGGGGATGGGGGATGGTTCAGGCAGTAATGCGAGCGATGGGCGGCAGCAGGTGAAGCTTTGCTCGTTTACTGCTCACCTACAGTGCAGCCCGGTTCCTAACAGGTCTCGGCCCGGTACCAGTCCGCGGCCTGGGGGTTGGGGATCCCTGATTTAGAGATACCAAATTAAAGAACAAAAGAAACTAGGGCTGAGGGGCTGCCAGGGGAAGAAAATGACTGCAATTTCCCTAATAAGCCTTGTAGGACAACTGGCCTCTTCATATGCATATAAAATTTTGATTCAATAAAAACTACGTTGAAAAATAAAATACAGTAAGACTAATAAAGCTTTTCTTTTTTTTTACCTGGATCTCCTAGCTTGTGAGACATTTCATTTAAAGTCTCAATCTCCTCTTCTTTTGGAGCATGAATAACCATAACTGTAGATCCCAGAATACTTAGCAAACATCCAATTTTTCCATGAAGGTTAAGTCTTTCATTTAGAAAGTATGAAGAAAGAATGGCACTAAAATGGGGAGAAGGTGGAGAATATTAAAATAATCAGCTACTTTTCTCATTTTTAAATATCAACACAACTCAGAATTTAAATGACTGAACTCAAACTAAAACACTGTGAGCTTATAAAGATTCTGGCTTTCAGCCAAAGTAAAGAAAATGCAAATTCAATCACAAAACGAAAGTTTCTGGGAACCACCCAGTATGGTAGTGTATGTTTCATCATACACTAAACCAGTACAGTTACCATCTTTCTACTGTAGTACATCAATGTGAAATTTATAATAAACAGAGCTATGGTACAAATGTATATTCTATTTAAGAATCTATATCCAAACCAATGCTTAATATTTGCTCAACTTTAATTTATCCCTACTGGTTGATGCATCCTTTGTACATTTTCATTTAATTCTATGTAATTCTAGAATTACATGTAATTCTATGTAATTTGCCTATTAAATTATCAAGTTTTAATAATTTATAACTAGTTTAATCAAAACCTTTAAAAAATATAAACCTATAAATATAATAATGGCATAATATACAAAAATTAAGGATAAAAGACATGTGCCATAATATATCTTTATATATCTTTATTTATTATACATAACATCTTATATCTTTATATATTATGTATAATATAATAGTATCTTGAAAATTATATAATTTGCATACAACATTGATTTATATAAATACTATCTTTAAAAATAAAAATACCTATCAACCAACCAACTTTGGGAATAGTAGCCAAAATCCAGACTTCAATATGGGCTTAGCTGTTTGGGCTAATGATTAAAATAACAGAAATAGGACAAGTCTTGTACTGCTCCTTCCAAACAAGGATCCTGGGCCAGTCTTCAACCATGCCCCAATCAATGATTTTCTGTAGAAGGTACAGAAATCTATTCATCACCAACCACCACCTACCAAAGTATACATGTATCAAATGATAAATATTGTAACAAGTGCAACTTGGAATTTTAAAAAACTGAAATTAAAGTAGAACTAGTGCTGACTTTGAACACAAGCAAGACAAAGAATAAAGGCATCTTCTCCCACAACTTGACAGCTTGCCTCTGCACAGAGGGTAACATTTCAAAAGCAAATTACTACACAGCATAAAAAGTTCTCCACGTTGCTTAAATGTAAATTATGCTGACCATGTGTGGTTATATGGTACTGAAAACTTCACAGGCTGAAACCCTAGCTGTTGTTTCTACATGTGATGAGTAGGGTCCTTACCTCACTAGGACACTGAGTGCCCCTAACGGAGTCACTAGGGTGGCTGGTGCAAAGGCATACGCAGCAAAGTTGGCCACCTCGCCAGCTCCCACTTGGAGACAGACAACAAGAGAAAACTCTCAGATAGGAACATATCTAGTCAAAACGGAAATGCCTGCATTTTATTTACATTTATTTTTTAACATACTATTTCAATTGTATCTAGTAATTTCTGTATTTTCTCCCATCTATTCATAAGGGTTCTCCTGTAAATTAGCAACATTAGAACAGAGTTCAAACCCATTAGAAACAATACAAATCTATAATTTCAATGGAAGACATCTAATTTATGTTTATATAGGTGTTTTTTTAATTAAAAATTTTAATAGATATTTACATCCTATGACAACAAACACAAATCAGCTAAAACTGATATGAAAGCACTTCTCCCAAGTCTTTTTCACTAGCTCTTTTCTTTTTTAAAACCCAACTCTTACATTCAAAAGGTATTCTTAGGTTCCTACCATGTGCCAGATGCTGTTCTAGCATCAGGAAATACATCAGGGAGCAAAATAAAGATATCGCCCTCCTAAGACTTACATTTTAGTGAGGGAAAACAGACAAAACACGTATGTCAAGTATTTAAGTGTGCTAGGAAGAAAACAAAGCAAGGGAAAGGAATGGAGAGCTGGTGACAGGCAGGACATGGTGCCAGGCAAAGGTGCTCTGATAGGTAATTTTGACCAATCTGATATGGAGTGAGGGATTTACCAGCAGGTATGGGGAAGGGGGAGAGACATCCCAAGCAGGGAGAAGAGCAAGTACAGAACTTTGACTCAAGACAATGTCTGGCGTGTCTGAACAGCAAGGAAGCCAGGGTGGCTCCAGCAAAGCGAGCCAGGGGGAGAGAAGCCAGGGAGAGTCTCACAATGGATTTTAACTGAGCTGAAAAGCCACTGGGGAATTTTAGCAGGAGAGGGACATGTGATCTCATAAAACGATTACTCTTGGCTACTATTTTCAAAATGGTTATGCCAAATATCCTTTGTCTCTCACTCTCCCCAACACTTAGTATTGTCAGATTTTCAAGTTTGCTAATCTGTTAATGGGAAATGGGATTATTTTATTATGCTTTCAATTTGCATTTTCCCTTTTCATGTTTACTGGCCAAGTGAAATCTTTTAGTGAAGTAGCTGTTCAAGGTTTTCCCCTATTAAGCTATTTGTTTTCTCTTATTGATTCTAGGTAATTCTTTACATATTTTGAACACAAATCTTTTGTTGGTTAAAAGCATTTTTTTTTTAATACCATGACCTGCTTTTTTTATTCTCTTAAACTCTTTTAATCAAAAAAGTTCTTGGGGGCTTCCCTAGTGGCACAGTGGTTAAGAATCCACCTGCCAATGCAGGGGACACGGGTTCGAGCCCTGGTCTGGGAAGATCCCACATGCCGTGGAGCAACTAAGCCCGTGCACCCTGACTACTGAGCTCGCGCAGCCCAACTACTGAGCCCACGTGCCACAACTACTGAAGCCCAATTGCCTAGAGCCTGTGCTCTGCAAGAGAAGCCACCACAACGAGAAGCCTGTGCACCACAATGAACGGGAGGGTGAATTTGTTATGTGTTTTTTGCCACCAAAAAAAAAGGAATCAGAGTACAAAGCCAAGCTCTTGGAATTAAAAATACAATAGCAGAACTAAAAACTCAAAAGAAGGGTTGGAAGACTTGAGGAAATCTCCCAAAAGACAGTAAAAAGGCAAAGTGGGGAAAAAATATGTGAGAAAATTGATGGTCTAGTTCAGGAGGTCCAATCAACAAGAAGAATAAGAAGAATTTCACAAAGAGAAGAGTATCAAAGAAGTAATTCAACTGCTTCTAGCGTGAGGCATGAATTTTTAAATTTAAAAAGATACATCAAGTACCTAACACAATGGATAAAAATTAACCCTCATCTAGGCACATTACTGGGAAATGTCAGACAATGAGGGCAAAGAGGACATCCCTACATGTTTCCAAAGATCAGTCTCATATAAAAGATAAAGAATCAGGAATTCCCAGGTGGTCCAGTGGTTAGGACTCCACGCTTTCACTGCCAAGGACCCAGGTTCAATCCCTGGTCAGGTAACCAAAAAAATCAGTTGTGTTTGATTTCTCAGCAGCAATACTGGAAGTGAGAAGATAATGAGGTGATGGTAGATTAAAGACATCTTGATATATGCAGGGTCTCAAAAAGTCTCTCTTGTGTACCTCTCTTGTCTCCTACAAGAGTGGCTCCAGCAAAATGAGGGCGCAAACCCAGGATTTGGGAGATAAGAGATCCACGAAAAAACAAAAGTGAAAGGGATCCCCCAGGATGCTGGTGAAGGAACCCAGGATGTCGACTCTGCTAGTGGCCTCAAGACATCAGTCTAAATTGAGGCCAAACAAGGCTCTTAGAGAGAGAGTTCCATAAGAGATGACACTGCAGGAACACCAAATATGTCTGAAATTACTGAGAGTAGAATTAGATCACAGGGGAAAAATTTCAGGATGGACTGATACATTTGTAGAAAACTAAGCAAATAAGATCATTATTAGTTCAGGAAAATCAGAAGTCACAAGAAAGGAAGGGAAAATTAACCACAATGTACTATATGTCCAAGCTGAGAATAAAAGTTATGTAGTGACAATAATGTAAAACAAATCATTTAAACAAACTAAATAGATACAACTGGTAATAGATATAATAATGCCTAAAGGCAAGGAAGTAGTAGCAATATAGCATGTTATTTAGAGCAGCAGCCCCCGACCCTTTTGGTACCAGGGGCTGGTTTTGTGGAAGACTGGTGGCGGGGATGGGGGATGGTTCAGGCAGTAATGCGAGCGATGGGCGGCAGCAGGTGAAGCTTTGCTCGTTTACTGCTCACCTACAGTGCAGCCCGGTTCCTAACAGGTCTCGGCCCGGTACCAGTCCGCGGCCTGGGGGTTGGGGATCCCTGATTTAGAGATACCAAATTAAAGAACAAAAGAAACTAGGGCTGAGGGGCTGCCAGGGGAAGAAAATGACTGCAATTTCCCTAATAAGCCTTGTAGGACAACTGGCCTCTTCATATGCATATAAAATTTTGATTCAATAAAAACTACGTTGAAAAATAAAATACAGTAAGACTAATAAAGCTTTTCTTTTTTTTTACCTGGATCTCCTAGCTTGTGAGACATTTCATTTAAAGTCTCAATCTCCTCTTCTTTTGGAGCATGAATAACCATAACTGTAGATCCCAGAATACTTAGCAAACATCCAATTTTTCCATGAAGGTTAAGTCTTTCATTTAGAAAGTATGAAGAAAGAATGGCACTAAAATGGGGAGAAGGTGGAGAATATTAAAATAATCAGCTACTTTTCTCATTTTTAAATATCAACACAACTCAGAATTTAAATGACTGAACTCAAACTAAAACACTGTGAGCTTATAAAGATTCTGGCTTTCAGCCAAAGTAAAGAAAATGCAAATTCAATCACAAAACGAAAGTTTCTGGGAACCACCCAGTATGGTAGTGTATGTTTCATCATACACTAAACCAGTACAGTTACCATCTTTCTACTGTAGTACATCAATGTGAAATTTATAATAAACAGAGCTATGGTACAAATGTATATTCTATTTAAGAATCTATATCCAAACCAATGCTTAATATTTGCTCAACTTTAATTTATCCCTACTGGTTGATGCATCCTTTGTACATTTTCATTTAATTCTATGTAATTCTAGAATTACATGTAATTCTATGTAATTTGCCTATTAAATTATCAAGTTTTAATAATTTATAACTAGTTTAATCAAAACCTTTAAAAAATATAAACCTATAAATATAATAATGGCATAATATACAAAAATTAAGGATAAAAGACATGTGCCATAATATATCTTTATATATCTTTATTTATTATACATAACATCTTATATCTTTATATATTATGTATAATATAATAGTATCTTGAAAATTATATAATTTGCATACAACATTGATTTATATAAATACTATCTTTAAAAATAAAAATACCTATCAACCAACCAACTTTGGGAATAGTAGCCAAAATCCAGACTTCAATATGGGCTTAGCTGTTTGGGCTAATGATTAAAATAACAGAAATAGGACAAGTCTTGTACTGCTCCTTCCAAACAAGGATCCTGGGCCAGTCTTCAACCATGCCCCAATCAATGATTTTCTGTAGAAGGTACAGAAATCTATTCATCACCAACCACCACCTACCAAAGTATACATGTATCAAATGATAAATATTGTAACAAGTGCAACTTGGAATTTTAAAAAACTGAAATTAAAGTAGAACTAGTGCTGACTTTGAACACAAGCAAGACAAAGAATAAAGGCATCTTCTCCCACAACTTGACAGCTTGCCTCTGCACAGAGGGTAACATTTCAAAAGCAAATTACTACACAGCATAAAAAGTTCTCCACGTTGCTTAAATGTAAATTATGCTGACCATGTGTGGTTATATGGTACTGAAAACTTCACAGGCTGAAACCCTAGCTGTTGTTTCTACATGTGATGAGTAGGGTCCTTACCTCACTAGGACACTGAGTGCCCCTAACGGAGTCACTAGGGTGGCTGGTGCAAAGGCATACGCAGCAAAGTTGGCCACCTCGCCAGCTCCCACTTGGAGACAGACAACAAGAGAAAACTCTCAGATAGGAACATATCTAGTCAAAACGGAAATGCCTGCATTTTATTTACATTTATTTTTTAACATACTATTTCAATTGTATCTAGTAATTTCTGTATTTTCTCCCATCTATTCATAAGGGTTCTCCTGTAAATTAGCAACATTAGAACAGAGTTCAAACCCATTAGAAACAATACAAATCTATAATTTCAATGGAAGACATCTAATTTATGTTTATATAGGTGTTTTTTTAATTAAAAATTTTAATAGATATTTACATCCTATGACAACAAACACAAATCAGCTAAAACTGATATGAAAGCACTTCTCCCAAGTCTTTTTCACTAGCTCTTTTCTTTTTTAAAACCCAACTCTTACATTCAAAAGGTATTCTTAGGTTCCTACCATGTGCCAGATGCTGTTCTAGCATCAGGAAATACATCAGGGAGCAAAATAAAGATATCGCCCTCCTAAGACTTACATTTTAGTGAGGGAAAACAGACAAAACACGTATGTCAAGTATTTAAGTGTGCTAGGAAGAAAACAAAGCAAGGGAAAGGAATGGAGAGCTGGTGACAGGCAGGACATGGTGCCAGGCAAAGGTGCTCTGATAGGTAATTTTGACCAATCTGATATGGAGTGAGGGATTTACCAGCAGGTATGGGGAAGGGGGAGAGACATCCCAAGCAGGGAGAAGAGCAAGTACAGAACTTTGACTCAAGACAATGTCTGGCGTGTCTGAACAGCAAGGAAGCCAGGGTGGCTCCAGCAAAGCGAGCCAGGGGGAGAGAAGCCAGGGAGAGTCTCACAATGGATTTTAACTGAGCTGAAAAGCCACTGGGGAATTTTAGCAGGAGAGGGACATGTGATCTCATAAAACGATTACTCTTGGCTACTATTTTCAAAATGGTTATGCCAAATATCCTTTGTCTCTCACTCTCCCCAACACTTAGTATTGTCAGATTTTCAAGTTTGCTAATCTGTTAATGGGAAATGGGATTATTTTATTATGCTTTCAATTTGCATTTTCCCTTTTCATGTTTACTGGCCAAGTGAAATCTTTTAGTGAAGTAGCTGTTCAAGGTTTTCCCCTATTAAGCTATTTGTTTTCTCTTATTGATTCTAGGTAATTCTTTACATATTTTGAACACAAATCTTTTGTTGGTTAAAAGCATTTTTTTTTTAATACCATGACCTGCTTTTTTTATTCTCTTAAACTCTTTTAATCAAAAAAGTTCTTGGGGGCTTCCCTAGTGGCACAGTGGTTAAGAATCCACCTGCCAATGCAGGGGACACGGGTTCGAGCCCTGGTCTGGGAAGATCCCACATGCCGTGGAGCAACTAAGCCCGTGCACCCTGACTACTGAGCTCGCGCAGCCCAACTACTGAGCCCACGTGCCACAACTACTGAAGCCCAATTGCCTAGAGCCTGTGCTCTGCAAGAGAAGCCACCACAACGAGAAGCCTGTGCACCACAATGAACAGTAGCCCCCGCTCGCCGCAACTAGAGAAAGCCTGCGCACAGCAACGAAGACCCAACGCAGCCAAAAATAAATAAATAAATTTATTTTTTTAAAAAAGTTCTTAATTTCAATGTCAAATTTTAAAATATCTTCCTTTATGGTTAGTGCTTCATACAACTTGTACAAGAAATCTGTCTTAAAATTCTTTATCCTCTAAATCCTTGACTGTTCTGCTTTCACGTTTAAGCTTATAAACCACCTGGAGTTGATCTTTATACAGAGTGAAGTAGGAACCCTATTATTCTTTTCCAGATGGACTGTTACAGCAATATTTACTGAAAAGTACACTTCCCTATTTCAATACCACCTCTGTCATAAATATACTGCCCATGGACCTATTCTATTGGCTCATGTATCTATCTTGTTATAATACCATCCTGACTTGATTAGTGTAACTTCATTAAGTCTTGATATCCAACAGAACAAGTCCTTTCACCTTTTCTTCTTAAAGAGTATCTTTGCTTTTCTTAGACTTCTGTATTTCCACACAAAATTTAAAATCAATTATCATGTACCACCTAACAACCTAGTTTCAAATGGAATAGCATTAATCCATATATCAGCATGGAGAGAAACGACAATTTTACAATTACAACTATTATAGTGATGAATCTTTCAATCCATGAAAATGACATATCCCTCTACTATTCGTCTCAGTAATGTTTTCATTTTCTCTGTGGGAATCTTTACCATCTTTTGTTAGATTTATAACTAATTCCTGTTTCTTAAAATTATATGCTGATGGTAACATTTTAACATTTCATTTTCTAATTGTTTGTTGCTGATATATAGAAATACAGCTAAGTTTTGTATACTAACTTTGTATCCAACAACCTTGCTAAATTTTAATTTTATAACTCATCTGTATGTTCTTTGGAATTCTTATACCCACAATCATATAATCAGCAAATAACAACAGTTTATATGTTCCTTTCTAATCCTATTTTCTCCCCTTGACTTTCTGCATTGGCTAGAAATTCCAGTAAAATATTGAAAAAGTGATGAGAGGTTATTTGCTTGTTCCCAGTTCCAAAAAGTGTCTTTAGGTACATGTAAAAGTATGAGATTAGATCACTCCCTAACACCATACACAAAAATAAGCTCAAAATGGATGAAAGACCTAAATGTAAGGCCAGAAACTATCAAACTCTTAGAGGAAAACATAGGCAGAACACTCTATGACATAAATCACAGCAAGATCCTTCTTGACCCATCTCCTAGAGTAATGGAGATAAAAACAAAAATAAACAAATGGGACCTAATGAAACTTCAAAGCTTTTGCACAGCAAAGGAAACCATAAACAAGACCAAAAGACAGCCCTCAGAATGGGAGAAAATATTTGCAAATGAATCAACTGACAAAGGATTAATCTCTAAAATTTACAGGCAGCTCATGCAGCTCAATAACAAAAAAATAAACAACCCAATCCAAAAATGGGCAGAAGACCTAAATAGACATTTCTCCAAAGAAGATATACAGACTGCCAACAAACACATGAAAGAATGCTCAACATCATTAATCATTAGAGAAATGCAAATCAAAACTACAATGAGATATCATCTCACACCAGTCAGAATGGCCATCATCAAAAAATCTAGAAACAATAAATGCTGGAGAGGGTGTGGAGAAAAGGGAACACTCTTGCACTGCTGGTGGGAATGTGAATTGGTTCAGCCACTATGGAGAACAGTATGGAGGTTCCTTAAAAAACTACAAATAGAACTACCATATGACCCAGCAATCCCACTACTAGGTATATACCCTGAGGAAACCAGAATTCAGAAAGAGTCATGTACCAAAATGTTCATTGCAGCTCTATTTACAATAGCCCGGAGATGGAAACAACCTAAGTGCCCGTCGTCGGATGAATGGATAAAGAAGATGTGGCACATATATACAATGGAATATTACTCAGCCATAAAAAGAAACGAAATTGAGCTATTTGTAATGAGGTGGATAGATCTAGAGTCTGTCATACAGAGTGAAGTAAGTCAGAAAGAGAAGGACAAATACCGTATGCTAACACATATATATGGAATTTAAGAAAAAAAAATGTTATGAAGAACCTAGGGGTAAAACAGGAATAAAGACAGAGACCTACTGGAGAACAGACTTGAGGATATGGGGAGGGGGAAGGGTGAGGTGTGTTAGGGCGAGAGAGAGACATGGACATATATATACTAACAAACGTAAGGTAGATAGCCAGTGGGAAGCAGCCGCATGGCACAGGGAAACCGGCTCGGTTCTTTGTGGCTGTCTGGAGGGGTGGGATAGGGAGGGTGGGAGGGAGGGAGACAAAGAGGGAAGAGATATGGGAACATATATATATGTATAACTGACTCACTCTGTTATAAAGCAGAAACTAACACACCATTGTAAAGCAATTATACCCCAATAAAGATGTTAAAAAAAAAAAAAAAAAAGTCTTCAATATTTCCCCATTTTTGCATTTACTGGGCAATTGTTGGTTTTGGCTTTTTTTTGTTAGCATTTTTTTTTTTTTTTGGTTTTGGCTATCTTAGAAATCCTATATCATATTAAGGAAATTCACTTAAATTATTAATTTGAAGTGGTTTCTTTATAGTCATGAATAGTTGAATTTTACTGAAATAATAATTTTTCTCCTTCAAATTAACATGGTAAATTACAGTGATTGGTTTTCCAATATTATGCCAACTTTGCATCAACAGAATAAATCTAACTTGTTCATACTGTACCATTTTGTTTGTAATTTTTACATATATTTTTACATATAGACTTGATTTTTCCTTTCTTATCCTGTCCTAATCAGCTTTTGGCATTAGAATTATGCTAGCTTTTTTAAGAAGAGTGAAGGAATATATACTGCTTTTTATATTATTAGGAAATTTTTTCTTTTAATTATTTCTTCTTTAAATGACTGAAAAATTTACCAATGAAACCATCTGGGCCCAAGCTTTAGTATATGCAAAGGGTTTTTTTTGGCTGCGTTTGGTCTTAGTTGTGGCATGCGGGATCTTTCATTGCGGTGCGTGCGCTTTCTCTCTAGTTGTGACGTGCAGGTTTTCTCTCTAGCTGTGGCATGTGGGTTCTATAGTCGTGGCACACAGGCTCTCTAGTTGAGGCGTGCAGGCTCAGTAGTTGAGGTGCACAGGCTTAGTTGCCCCGTGGCATGTGGGATCTTAGTTCCCTGACCAGGGATCAAACCCGCATCCCCTGCTTTGGAAGGCGGATTCTTTACCACTGGACCACCAGGGAAGTCCCATATGCATAGGTTTTAAAATTATAGATTCAACTGTGTTAAGTTAGAGGAGGATTCCAGTTTTCTATTTCCTCATGAGTGTTGAGAAATTTTATTTTTCAAGATATTCTACGTTTTTTTATCGACTGGAATAAAATTTTCATAACATCCTGTTAATACCTATAAAACCCTAATTATATCACCTACCTTCTCCTTTTCTTGATCAGTTTCAAGGTTTATCAAGTTCATTATTCTGATCATAGACCCAAATGTTTGCTTTATGCCCTGTTTTCTATTTAAATAATTTCAGCTTTTCTCTTTACTTCCTTCTACATTTTAGGGTTTATTCTGCCATTCTTTTTCTATTTTCTTGAACTAGATGCCTCACCTTTCTTATTTTCACTTATATTTATTTGAAACCATAAATTTTACTCTAGTTACTTCAGTTATATTCCACAAATTATGATATTCTGTACTTTGTATCAACATACTGAAGTATTTTCTAAATTAAACATATTTTTAAAATATTTTCTAATTTCCATTCTGACTTCTTTGAACCATGGGTTACATAAAGCGTATTTCTAAGTTTCCACACGTGTTTTTCACGATATCTTTTTGTTACTATTTCTAATATAATGATCTGTGAAAAGACTTCATCAAATCCTTTGAAAAATTAAAGACTGGCTTTATGGTCCTGCAAACAGTCCATCTGCATCAATATTCCATATGCACTTGAAAAGAATGTAGATCTTAAGTTGCTGAGTTCAGTGACTTAAGTGTGTTAAATCTGCTGTTCAAATTTTCTATCACCTTAAGGATTTTACACTGCTTTCCCCATCAACTGCTCAGAGTGTTACATTAAAATCTCACTGTATGATTTTGGATTTGTCTATTTCTCCTTGCTATTCTGTCAACTGCTGCTTTGTATATAAGGCCATATTATTAAATAAAGTTAGAACTGTTAAACTTCCTGAGTTGAACCCTTTGTCTTAAGAAATAATCCTCTGTCTCTAGTATTGTTTTTTGCTTTGAATTATACTTTTTCTAATAACAATAACAGAAATCTCAACTTTTTTCAGGCATGTTTTCCCATCCTTCTCTTTCGGCCATTCTGTATCTCATGTTTTACAGTGCACCTTGTAAAAGGCATGTAGTTGTTTTTGTTTGTTATTTTTTTTTATAATTCCAGTAGAATAATCTTTGCCTTTTAACTGGGACATTTTGTGTACAGTAGTTATTGATATATCTGGATTTAAATATACCACCCATTTTGAAAGATTTTCTTTTCAAAAGTTTAAAGAATAATGCAACACTTCAAATATTCAGAAAAACAGAATAAAATATAAATGACAGCTATATATCCACCACCCAGACTCCCCAAGTGGCATCACCTAACTGACCCTTATTAGTCCAATTCACAAGTTCTCTCTTTCAGCTGCCTGCTCTGGAGTCTGCGATCACCTCTAGGGCAGAAGTATCTCCAGCTTATCCTGAGCTCTATGCTTTTCCCTGATCTAAGCTAGCTAATTCTTCACTAACATGTTAGCTCTTCAATGCTTTTAAGAGGATGCTTTTTTATATCCTGTCCAGACTTTTAACTTATTTTCAGCAAATCTTATTAGTTTTAGCTTCAAAACACATCCAGAATTCTACCACTTCTCACCATACTCACTGCTACTACTCTGGGTCCATGCCATCACAACCTCTTACCTAATTATTTCAATAGCTTCTTACCTGGTTTCTCTGCTTCTGCACCTATGCAGTCTGTGCCTCAACACAGCAGCCTGAAAGTTCCTATTAAAACCTGAGTCCGATCAGGTTACCTCTTCACTCAAGCCTCCAATGACTCCCCATCAAACATAAAAGTCAAAGTCCTTTCTATAACCTACAAAGCCCCACATGATCTAGGCCCTTATTACTTCTCTAAACTTACCCCTACTGCTTCCCTGCACATCCACTCCCTTACTATTCTTGCCTCTTTAATGTTTCCTGAGGTTTTAGTAATCCAGTACTGTATAACAAAGCACCCCCAAAACTGGCAGCTTAAAACAACAAAAGCCATGTTTTTCTGTTGGTCAAGACTTAACGGTTTCTCATAGTTTCTGTTGATCAGTAGGTACTTCCCACTCAGGGTTTTTCAAGAGGTTGCAGTCAAGATACAATCTGCAACCTGTACCTTGCTACAATCTGGAGGACCCAGTTCCAAGATAACTTACTCACGTGACTGGTAAGTCAGTAACTGGTTATAGCCTGGGGACCTCTCTTCAGGCTGCCTGACTGTCCTCCAGCACAGTAGCTGGCTTCAGAATGACCAATACAATCATCAAGGCAAACCTTAACGCCTCTGATTACTCAGTCACATCATCAATTCCACTGTATTCTTTGATCACACCAGGTCAGCACTAATTCAATGTGAGAGGGGATCATACAAAGATGTGACCACCAGGGGATGAGGATCTTTGTGGGCTATCTTGGATTCTGCCTACCACACTTTAAAAGGCAAGGCATGGTCTTGCCTCGTGGCCTTCATATTTATTACTTCCTCCTGCTTAAAATGTTCTTCCCCCAAATATCCATATGGCCAGCTTCCTCAATTCCTTTATGTCTTTTACTCAAATATTATCTTTCCAGGGAGGGCTGCCCTGGCCCCCTAACTAAAATCTAAACCTATCCATCCTTCACTTTATTACATCACTTCCCTACTTTACTCCTAGCAAGTGTTAACATTTACCACTAATACACATTTTATCTTGTTTATTTTTTTTGTCCATGTAGAATGTAAAGTCTCATGTGGTTGAGAATTTTTTTGTTCGTGTATTCTGTTTGCTATATCTCCAGCACCTAGAACAACTGGCATAGAAAAACTGATCAAGAAATATTTGCTGAATGAATAGTCAAATCAGTCTCTTTCTTATTTCAACTGCCCTTAAGCTTAGAAAAAAGTTTACATAATTTAATCTTGAATACTTTGAAGGCTTAGTGTCTTAAGGATCACTTTTTCCATGTACCCTTTAAAAGGTAATCATCAAAGTAAGCATGGACAGTCTTCTCAAATGCATATCTCATTTCCAATTTAGAATGAAAATTAATGGAGGGACAGGAATTAAAAACAGGATGTGTTCTATGATCTTTCACTTTCAAAATTACCTTCTTAAACTGAGCATAATTTTAAAAAATACATATATATATATATATATATATATATATATCAGACATGTTTTAATCAAGTAAATGTCTTCTCATTCAAATTAAATAAGCTATTAAACTGCGAAATGACTTTTACAGGCTTAAATTTTACATATTTTGTGTTTTGTTCATTTACAAAAACAGAATTTATTTAACGTTTTAAAACTGCTGGTAATATGAGGCTGTAATAGTATATGTAAATATTTCAATATACAGCTATAATATTTTCTTGAAATGTCCTCTATACATACTTGATAGCAGTCCAGCCCACCACAACCATTCTTTAAGATATGCATGGCCACCTTGACCTGTGAATGAAAACATATTTCACCTCTTTGGAAGAGTACCAGACTTTAATAAATTTATGACAACTATTAGTAATGACAGATTTTAAAATATCATTTGCTAATTACTACTACATTGAATAAAGGTTTCATCATGATTACATATGGGATTTCTTAGATAATATTTTTATGATTATCTTAGAAAAGGGGATGTGAGGATCATGTGAATGTGAGTGACGTATATTCAGTTCATACTTCATTCTTTTGTTTTGTGAACTCAGTTTCAATAAAGAAAGAAACTGAACTAGTAAGAAGTAGCCCAACTTCAAATGAATCAGATAGTGGACAAGCCACTTAGGTGTGGGTGAGCCCTACTTATGAGGTAGTAACCTTGGAGAAAGGGGTCCTATATTGACCAGACATAAAAAGACTGAGCACTGCTCACAGTGTGGGGCTTCCAGGATGCTCATGCTGCCTTTTTACTTGACTTTCCTCCAGTCTAAACTAATAAGATCCGAAAGCAATCAGTACTTAAGCCGTTGTTCAAAAGAAAAAGCCAATGTGAATGAACCCCTTGACAAGCGTATCCACATGGACAATGAGTACCTGCCTTAGGAATGAGGACACACTTGTTCAAGCAGCATATGCCAATACTCTCTCCTCTCTGCACTAAATCTAATAGAGGCCACTGTTTTAAGAGAGTTTAATTAGGTTTGGCCATAGAGATGGCACAGAAAAGAAGAAGGTAACATTTTTTACTGCCAAAGCAGGTTTTCCTGTGAGGTCAGAACTGGGGCAGAGGCTGAATGACAGAACGTGACCAGAATGCAAAATAATTCTGGGAGCTGTCATGATGCACCAGAAAGTCAGGGGGGTTCAATCACACTGGGCACCCCCCAGGGTCTCGTGACTTGTCAGTAATTTCTGGGGATCAACCTACACCACCCATCAGAATTTCACGCAACTGAGTACACTTCAACCTTAGGAAGCCCTCTCTTTCCTTCCTGCCAATTGGAGATCATCAGAAGAAATGTCTAAGGAAAAGTCAAACTTTTACTATCACAGACAAAAGATCCTAGCCTTCAATACGATTCTGATTCTGTCCACATACCCTCATTTCCTCCTCTGCAGTCATATCAAAATTTAAAGGAAAGGCTGGATGCTAATTGGGCATTGGTCCCTACTCCCACTTTGATAATAATGCCAAGAGTAGTTAACTTATTTTGACATCTTCTTACTTTTTATTTTTCTCATTAAAAAAAATGATTCTCTATAAACATTTACAACTCTTGCACAGTTCAAAGTTTTAAATATAGTCACTAGGAATGAAGACATGGTCTTCTACAGTCAAAGAACCCAAGTACATAAGCATACACTGATGTCATTTCAAAGTCACATAGGGCATAAATAACCTACCTGCTCTCATGGAGCCTTTTCTAGCAAGTCGCAGAAGGCCTTTTTTTTTCAAAATGAAACTCCCTCCAATGAAAATGCTGGAGCTCATAGCCAATCCCAGACCAATATAAAAGTCATATTTTCCACGGCCCTGGCTCATTTCGTTTGTTACTTTAAAAGTTCCTGTGAATCACATTGATCAAGAACAGAGAAACTGCTGGTGCTGGAGGCAGGATGATGCAGTCTTCAAATCTAAATGATGCAAAAGAAAATGAGATTTTTCACAGAATGACAGGATGCATGACCACATACAATTCAAAATTTTACCCTTTCTCTTTTCATAACATAATAACATTTCTATTGGTACTATTAGTTAACATCAATATATTTACCATTTGTATTTAGCACTAATCTAATTATATTTCTTCCAATTATGGTGAAAGATGGGATCTTGATACAAAACCATACTTAAAAACTGAACTCATAGGGACTTCCCTAGCGGTCCAGTGGTTAAGACTCCAAACTTCCACTGCAGGGGGAGAGGGTCTGATCCCTGGTTGGGGAATTAAGATCCCACATGCCATGCGGTGTGACCAAAACAAAAACAAAAACAAAAACTGAAATAATAGAAACAGAGAGCTCCCAGAGTTAGGGGGTACGGGGTAGGAGTGAAGGTGGTTAAAAGGTACAACCTTCCAGTTACGAGATAAATAAGTCATGGGGATGTAATGTACAGCACAGTAACATAGTTAATAATACCGTATTGTATATTCGAACGTGGCTAAGGCAGTAGATCTTAAAAGTTCTCATCACAAGAAAAAAATGTGTAACTCTTGTGTGGTAATGAATGTTAACCAAACTTAATGTGGTAATCATTTTGTAATATATACATTATGTGGTACACCTTAAACTAATACAGTGTTACATATCAGCTATAACAATAAAACTGGGGAAAAAATTAAAAATAAAACCACATTTAAATTGATTTTATAAACTCTGGTTTCGTATTTTTAAAATGTTTCCAGTCTTAGCTGGATAGTCCATAGTAACAAAACTTTGCTGATAAGACAAAACCTTCTAGGGACTTCCCTGCCAGTCCAGTGGTTATGACTCTGTGTTCCCACTGCAGGGGGTACAGGTTCAATCCCTGGTCGGGGAACTAAGATCCTACATGCAGCGCAGTGTGGCCAAAAGTTAAATAAATAAAATAAATAAATAAATAAATACATATTTTAAAAGTTAGTTTCACCAAAAAAGAAAAAGAAAAAACTTCTACAGAATGAAAATCAGGCATAAAAATATACAAATCTAGTCTACAAATACATTTACCAATTTCACAAATGTGTCCTTTTTGAATAATCTATACAGAGAAACAAAAAACTTTCTCACTCATATATTTTCTTCTTAGAAATCTATGTAGACATAAGCATTTGGTAATTTCTTTCTTATTTAGCCTATTTGGGGGTGTGTAAAGGAGAAGGCAGATGTCACATTATTTTGTGAGCAGAGGATGATGATTCTAACAGACAGATGTTTGCCAGGGTGTATGTGTAGTACTGGTGGACTTTTTAGAGAACCTGAGGGCCATGGGACCTAGAGGACTCGAGTCATAACGCCAGAAAGGATTCAGTGGCATACCAAAGACTGCAATTTTTTTTCCAAATAGCCAAAACTCAGAACTCTGCTGACAAACAAACTAAAGCAAAGTGTAGAAAGTGGAGGTAAAAACATTTACTTAGCTGCAAGATTTATGATTGGTTATAACTAACTGCCAGTCCAACTTTCTGGTATGTCCTGAGATTTTTAGTCCCACAATTTAACAACTGAATCCCAGAACTAATCTGCAACTCAGTCAGGATCCTTAGTCATTAACCCTCACTAACTAGCCAAATGTTTCCATTCTTCAGGTTATGGGACTCAGGCTTTTCATAAAAGGAACTTAACTTCCTATCTACCTAGCCCCTCAATTACCTTATCCAGCCACTCAAACAGCTTTTACTGAACATATGCTATGTGCACTAAGCATTATGATAAGCTCTCTGGATAAAATGGTAATAGCTTTTAGACTTCAATGGGGAGACAGACAAGCGACAGATTATAACAGGGGGTTGGGAGATAAGAGAAATAGGTGAGGGAGATTAAGAGGTACAAACTTCCAGTTACAAAATAAATGAATCACCAGGATGAAATGTACACTATGGGGAATACAGTCAATAACAATGTAATATCTTTGCATGGTGATAGATGGTAACTAGGCTTATTATGGTGATCATTTCGGTAACATATAGAAATATCAAATCACTATGTTGTACACTCAGAACTAACATAGTGTTACAGGTTAATTATACCTCAAAACAAACAAAACTTTTGACACTAAACTTCCAGGGATGAAAAAACATCTTAAAAACGGTACTTACTGTAACTGAATACCAAAGATTTGACAATTTACTTAAACACAAAGGAATGAAGCTCTCTACAAATATGCTATAGTTTTTCAAATCTGGTGGCTTAGTTTGAATCAATTCCTTTACTTCTACTTCTTATCAATAAGTAAAAAGTACAAAAATGAAAGATAAATTTCAAATCTATAATTAAACTGCTCTATCACCAAAAGAAAAAAAAAACTGTAACAAAAGTAAGTGCTTACAGGTTCCCACCACACCCTGAACAACTGGTTTATCCATGTTTACGGCTCAGTCACCCTCAGCAGAATGCCAGCTCCTGGGCTCCTGCACGAGTCACCTTTTTTTATCCTGTGTACTCAGCTATCTGGCAGTCTCATGTCTCAATACATGTTCGGAATCATATAATTGGTCCTAAAAAATAAAGTTGGCTATTCATGAGTGGTCATTAGTAGACAGAAAACCACTGCATCACTCATATCAGCATCCTAAAATGTAACCACTATTTTATAGACTATAAACTGAAGAACTGTAAAAAGTTGTCAAAGTATACTGGGAAGTCATAGTACCACATACAAGTTAACATGCAAAGATAATAGTAATAACGGCTGGAAAATGGGAGTAAAGAAACCTGGCTACCAAACACGTCAGCCCACTTGGCAAGTATACCCTTCTAATGAGCAAGAGTCACCTAACTTTAATGAACCCTCTTCCTTCAACTGTTACGTTCGTGGAACAATGTTCGTAATTATCATACAAGTTCTACTGAGGAAGTAACTACTTAAATCTTCAAAAATCTCCCTTTTGAAGGTCTGAACAGAACAAGCCAAATTATAGTCTGAATGTTCTGGAATCAATAAGATGGAACTTTGTTATCTGCAAGGATGATACCCAGAAACAAGTCAGGTTTATCTGTAATTCCAATCCCAGTATAATGATAGCCTCACAAATACAAATTCAGACTTTAATTATATAAACCTGACCTTCAAATGCCAAATGTGTAACTACTAATTTACTAATATTTACTAACACTTAATGTTAAATTTCACTAAATGCAAGTTACATACATATGGTGTAAGGTCTAAAATTAAGACCCAATATATTATGCTGCCTTGACACCTGGTAAAACTGGGATGACCTGACCACAAGTTCCTGCCCTCCCCCACTCCGCTTTCATGGCTAGGTCCTGAAGCCAAACAACTCTACTTATCAAGGGGACCAGGCACATTTCCTGCTTATCCTTTAGTGGGCTTCACTGCCTTGACAGACTGCAGAATTATTAAAACCAGCCAATCACATCTTCCTACAGGATCCAAGGGGCCCCTCAACCTCTTGCACTACAAAGCCTGCCTTCACAGTCCCTGGTTCTTTCTCTGCAGCCCCCGTGTGGCCCTGTGTGGTATGCGGTGTCCTCCTCCTAGATGAGTAAAAGTGACTAATAAACTGCTGTCTAATAAACTGCTCTCACGTGTCCAGTGTCAAAGGGAGGGAATCCGCACCCTACCTCCAACCAACAAAGTGAAGAAGAGGTGATTAAACCAATACCTTATATGGAATCTTACTCATTTTATCCAAAGATCACTGAAAGTTCACTATTCTTAACTTTACTATGTCTACATATAAATTTTTTCCACTTGTTACATAAAGTTGCATGATGCTATTTAAAATCTTTTTCCCTGTTTTTTTTATTGCTATTGACTTACTGTGGAAAATTTCAAACACACAAAAGTAGAGAGAAGACCTTTTTTGACCAGTTGGGTCAATCATTTATTATGCATGTGGCTTTGGAGAGCTGTACCCCTCGTGCCCACTTCATTTCCCAACACAGGATCATGGCTCCCTTGAGACAAGTCATCAGTGCTCAGCCACACTACAGCCCTCCCATCCTCCTTTCCACTACTTAGAGGCTGCTCTTCACTCCAGGCCAGGTCACACTTCAAGCTATGCTACGAAGACTTCTCCAGTAGCTATAGCCCACAGGCATTTTCTCTCCTTTGCATTTTATTTACAGACAGCTTCATAAAATTTATTTCTTAATTACTGTTCAAAGATAAATTCTAAGTTTCTTAAAGACAATGACTGGTTCTTTGTGGTGGTTTCTCCACAAAAGGCACTCACTCATAGTGGCAAATACGATTTATAAGCTTTTCTAGAATTAAGGTTATTTGTTGTGCTTGTTCGTTCACTTACTGAACTACAATGATGTGTATGTGGGTGGGGAAGGGTGCCAAGTAACATAAAAGTTACATGCCATCAAGTTATAAAGCAGCCTTCAGCCACTAAACTAAGTAAATGAATCATCTCATTTCACTTACAGTTTGAAAACAGGACGTCCGTGCACACAGCGGCAAGTCGGAATCTGCTTGGAAGTGCAGAGAAGTTCCTCCGCGCACTATGTGCGGACAACAATGGACACCCAGAAGGACGGTCAACCCCCAAAGCAGCGGCCAATGATATATACCTGTGGAGAATGTCACACAGAAAATGAAATAAAATTACGGGATCCAGTCTGAGGCAGAGAATGTGGATACAGAATAATGTACAAGAAAAGGACTACAAGATGGGTGGTTTTTGATGCTCGGTGAAACATGAAATTCTGAGGACTATCTTCATTTGTATTTGGATTTGCTGTTAATGTTGTTGTATAGCTTTTGATTAGTGTACTTCATGAATACAACTATATATACATAATTTCATTTTAAAAACCATATTGTATTTAGAGATCTATTAATAGTTTATATAAAGATATTACTTTTTG